GATCCAATGCATAAATAATAATAATTAATAATTATCTATTTCATGCATTTTATACATCACATAAATAAATAAATGACAAGCAAAAACAAATAAATGAAATGGTCAATGGATTTAACTTTTAACATTAAAAACTAAATAATTACTAAGTGCTATAATTATTACACCACATATAAACTCCCACTATCTTTAAATAATGGAGAATAATTTTAAAATCCACTTTGGAGCAATAATTCACTCTTTAATGAGCGAAAACAGTACAAAATAATCATAAAACAAGACTGAAGGTCTACCGCAAAGTCCTATACACCTGCAGAAGCCAAGAATCAGGTTCAATGCTCTCCCACGCGCCAGCCACACGCTTTCCAAGCGCCACACGGGCCTGCACGCACTTATGGAAGTTGGCAGCGAGTGGCACGTGTTGCCACGCGCCTTTTGGCTTTGGATCTGCCAGCGCGTGGTCCTCACACGCTGGTTTATTGGTTGCACATGGTGCACACCCTAGGTGCGCTGCACCTGATCGTCTCTTTGTTCAATGTCGCTGATTGATGATCCTGCGGTTGCTGGTGCACGAGCATGTGAAGCGCATCGCACCAGATCAGCCACCTTCACTCCAGCACCGGCGTTCCGGCAGCCGGAAAAATGCCGAAAATTCCAGAAATTTTTTTAAAAATTTCCAGAATTCATTATTTGACCTAAAAAATTCCAAAAAATTCTTGAAACCAAAGTAAATCATCTTGGATCTTCTTGAAACTTCATAGCATTCTTTGATGAAGATTACATGACTTTAAAAAATATTTACACTTGAAATATAATGAAAAAAATTAAATTACATCATTAAACTTTCAAATGGATAAATCAAAACCTTAATTACATTTATCGAAAGATAAAATTACATTAAATTAACCTATAAGCTTCATCAATGGCCCAAACATACATCAACATCATCCAATCACAAATATACATACATCATGATCATATATTAATATATACATATGCATATATAAATTTGGATCCATGAATGATGATTTTCTTCAATAAAAAATATGAACTTTATACATGAATCAAATCTAGCTCTGATTCCACTGTTGGGGAAACGGAAGTTTTAAAAACTTTATGAGGGTTTTTCAAATAAAGAATTTGATTTATGTGTAGAGACAAGTTTTATGCATGAAGAATATGATGATCCATTCAATTTTGGAACTGAAAACTTACATCAATATTTGAGTAAACCTTTGATCTCTCCTCTAAAGTGAATATTCTCACTTATTGTAAATCCCTTTACTAGATGCCTTCTCCTTGGATCTTTGTCTTCTTGGTAATAGTTTTGCTTTTAGGAATCACCTATAAGCCTCCATGAATGACCTTGAGAGCTAAGATTGTGGGAGCCTCCATTAGATGAGAACACTAACCCTTAAATTCTAGAGAGAGAAAGTATTTTTTTATCTTCTAAAATTATTTTACAAAGCATAATCTAAAATATAAATGAACTCCATGTATATATAGGCAACATAAAAAATAATAATTAAAGACATTATATTTTTCTCAATCTCTAAAACTAACGTGATATCTCAAATCTAATAGGTCTCCAATATCAAGTTAGGTTATACGTGAGAATCTTTTGGGCTTATTATTTTCTTAGCTACAATGAATTAATAATTGGTCCTGTCCATGAACCCAATTAAATTAATTCATTAATTAATTTCTACTCCACTAAAAGAAATTAATTGAACTCAAATTAAATAATAAATAACCTTTAAGTCAATGTTACACTTTGACTCTTCAATGCATAATTAGTTATCGGATAAATAAAACCATCAATCTGACTACTTCATTAATATATTTATTTTAGTTCCTTTGATTATTTCCGGCTTGATCACAATAAAATATTTGTTTGATAATAAATAAATAAATATATAATAAATCATTTTGTCTAAAAACACACGAAGGCCTTCAAATTACTTTGTGATCAATCATAATCAATACAAAATAAATACAAGTAACAATGATGCAAATATTGAAAATATAACCCTTTAACTATTAATTACATAATTACCCAAAGTGTCGGTCTATGAATTCCGAAGATTCCGCTGAACAAATCAAAGTAATTACTAATTAATAAAAGAGTTTATATTTTTTTCATGCTTAAAAGTCAAATGCCATAACAGTGATAGGGAGCAATTGCATATGACGGCTCTCGCAATATATCTCAACCTAACACGAATCCAGTTCAAGTCTTAGTTAATAATGAGTCCATCCATAATTACCGACTATGAACAATTCATGATCATCATTTATATTCATGTATTGATTGTCATCACATACATAAATAAATATCTCTTGTAATCAAGTGAATCGCAACATAATACATTGAATTCAACAATTATATAAATCATAAATATTTTAAATATGTCAGGAACATATGTCACTACAATCCAAATAGAAATTTGATATGCCAGGGTGTATAAATCCCAACAGAAAGGTGTTGAAAAAGTGAAAAGAAAAATTAAAAGAGAAGAAAGTGCTAAAGAAGAGGCAAAAGTTGATATATGAAGTTAATTGGTGAGTTAACATCTTCAGGTATGATTAAAAATTCCACCTTAAAATAAGTTATATTTAACTTATTCGATGACATTATTATTTTTTCATATTCATCAAATAGTACTTTTTTTTGTGGAGAATGATGAACTTCTCTTGAAGAAAATTGTTCCAATTAAGTGTGAGATTGAAACTCAAGTTGATGAGAATTTCTTGAATAGTTTTTTGCAAAATGGTTTCGAGAATTTTGTAATTAACACAAAATGAGGTAGAACTCAAGACCAACCAATGAACTTTTGATCGAGCCCCAAGATCAATATGAAGCTTTTTCAAGTTACCAAATCAAGTTTAAAGGGGGGTGTTGAAAAATAAACTTAATTTTAGTATTGAATTAGTCATTTCATGAAGTATTTATCTTACATAATGTATGTGGGCATTCAACATGTTAGTGGGTAGTAAATTGTCTTAATGAGAATTAGTATATAAGAGTTAGTATGATGGTGAAGATTCAAGGGTCATGAGAGTTAAGATTAGATGGTTATATTAGTGAGAGTTATGCCTACTAAATATCATGTTAGTATAAATAGTGAGTGTAATTAGTTATTTAAATGTAATGGTTACCCATATATTTGTGAGGCTTATATAATTATGTACTCTAGCAATTTTATTAAAATTATTTCTTAATTCTCTTCCAAATATTGTATTCAAGGACGGATCCAGAATTACATAATAGGGTGGGATAATCTATTCTGGGGTGGACTAGTATTGGGCTAAAATTACCTCTAATAAATTTTTTTTAAAAAATATTTTTTGGGGTGGGCTCAAGCTCACCAGAGCTCACCCCTGAATCCGCCCTTGATTGTATTGAGGGTTGTGTATGTATTCAGGTCACTATTTCCAACAAAGTGATATTAGAGCAAAAGGCAATAAGTTTTGCAAGTACCAAATTAAAAAATAATAATTAAAAAAAATTAGTATATCTTTAACTGTGAGGACCAAACTATCATTTTAGTCTTTTGAACTAAAAGGATGAAAAAAAACTTATGTTTGTATTTTGTTATTTGTTAATTTATTTGTCGGGGTTGTAACTAAATCGAGCCTAGTCTTGGATTGTTCTGGCTTGGATAGTCAAACTGCAAGAATGTTTGAGCTTGGCTTGCGTTCGAACTAGCTCTTCTTAGCCTTGATCGTGCTCAATTTGACAAATGTTAGAATGAAATCGTCTGTCAATACGTACATTTATTATATAGATACACACACACAGAGATTGTATAATAATCATCTATATCAATAGGCATATATATACACGCACATAGACAAAATAATCATGAAAACAGAAAGAGCAGAAGATGGAGAAAAATGAGAGAAAAAATTGCCAAAACAAAGAGGAAAATGGAGAAATATGTACTAACCTACTTGAAATCGTGGAGTGTTGCTTGCGGCTGCTAGGTCGTCATCGCCGCTGCGTGTTGGTATTGTCCTACTTAGGTCGTGTGAATGAGGAAGAAATGCAATAGGCCATTAGGGTTACCTATTGGGATACTGCACTATGGCCTGGTAATTAGATGGGCTTAGGCTATTTTATTTTATAAGGGATGAAATTATGTAAATTTAGTTGTGTTGGCTGTTTAATTTGGGCTAGTTTGTTTATGAATTGTAGTAAAGTAAATGGTTTTTAAAACTATATATATATTTATAATTTATCATGTTTGCAAAAACATTCACCAGCTTTGTCGATGAACAAACGAATTAGCGAGTTTATTTGAGATTAGTTCGTATATCCGAACTATTATTGAGTCGAGCTCAAACTAGCTATTTGCCGGATGCTTGGTTTAGTTACAATCCTATTCATACATGCTAAAGCCAGTAAACCAGATCATAATTAACCACAGTAGCAGACCAACATTTGTTGAATTAGAACACATTATACTATTATAGGACTCACTTCATTGAAGGAACAGCGCAACACAATAGCAAGTGATCTTTTAAATTTGTTTAAAATATATATATATATATATATATATATATATATATATATATATATATAGTAATAATTGTAACAAAGAAAAATCAAAAATATTTCATAAATATGGTTAATAACTGATATGGCCAACTGTAAAAACAATCTTATTCACTTTTCTGGTTTTGGACAAGAAAAACGTTTACACGTCAGTCAGTATATATATGAGCTTCTTCGCTGGACTAAACAATAGTTGTTAGTAGTTTGTATGGTTGATCATATTTAGCTTCCTAGCTCCACCCAACTCCAAATTCAACGTCTTCTTCATAATTCTCTTTCTTTTTCTTGTCTTTTTTTTTTTTTTTTTTTTTTTTTTTTTATGATCTGTTTAATTTTCTGTATGTATTTTTTTCTTTTGGATTAATTTCAATTCCATAAGGTTTTGATCGATATAAAAGATTAGATCAAGATGAGTTCACCCATAGAACAAGATGAGACAAAAGTAATGACCGGCGAGGACTCCTGCGTAGCTGAACTTATGCCGCTGCATTCACAGGGCATATGGAACCTACAAAATTTGCATAGCATTTACAATTATCCATTGCCCATGCTTCACATGCAATTGGCAGTAATATTCATCCTCACTCAATCTATACACACGGTGTTGAAACGCTTCAATGTGTCCCGGATCGTCTCCGAGATCCTTGTATTTTTCTCTCCCTTTCTGCTTCCATAAATGTTCTTCGTAAACTTTGTTAACTGTTTTGATAATCTGCTTGCATTTTGTCACAACTATATATTATGACATGTTCAAAGAATGATATAATCAGAAGTTTTTTATTATTATTATTAAAAAGACAGTAAAACAAAGAACACTCGTATTGCAAAGTAATACAATACACTATATGTATACATTTTTTTGGGTAGATAAGATAATTGATGATCATAAATATGTTGATTTCAATCTGCAGGCTGGTGTAATACTAGGACCAACTTTTCTGGGATCAATTCCGGGGTTTACCAAGACATTCTTCCCCCAACATTCAACCTCTGTTCTGGACATGTTATCGAAACTTGGCTACATTTTATTCATGTTCCTCATAGGAGTGAAGATGGAACCAAGCATGATGATGAGAACTGGTAAAAAGGTCTGGACTTTGGCATTTGTATCGGTCGTGCTTCCCATATTTACGGCCATGGTCTCTTCTAATGTCTTCCCGATGACAGCAACAGTAAAATACGTTATATTAACACAAACCTTTAGTCCATTTCCTGTCATTGTCTGCCTCCTCAATGACCTAAAAATCATGAACTCCGAGATCGGCCGCCTTGCTTTAGCTACAGCATTGATCAGGGAGTTCTTCAGTTTAGCAATCCATACTCCACTCAACTATGCTAGAGTTTCGACACAAGGCGGGTCGTTTAAAACTGGGGGACTCACCCTTTTTCTGTTTCTAATTTTCATCCTTACCATTTGCTTCCTCCTGCGCCCGGTGTTTCTATGGATCATTAGAAAGACACCCGAAGGGAAGCCAGTGGAGGAAGTGTACCTCTCTTTCATTTATTGTGGGACTCTCCTCTCGGCCATAATCACTGACTTCTTAGGGGCTCAGATGTACCATTTCGGTCCTATGATACTCGGCCTCGCCATTCCTGTCGGACCACCTCTAGGATCCACACTGGAAGAGAAGTTCGACACCTTTGTCACGGGGTTCTTCACGCCAGTGCTTATGACCTTATGCGGCATGAATGCAAATTTTCGTTCAGTAATGAACCTGAATATCATGTACGTCTTATTGACAGTCTGCGCCGCTGGTGCTGTAATTAATTTTATAGGGGGTTTTCTTCCTTCATTGACCTGGAAAATGCCTCCCAAAGATGCAGCTACTCTTGCACTCATCCTGAGTACTCAAGGCATTGTTGAGATGGCCGGTCTTATCGCCTACACGCAAAATCAGGTACTAAAAATATGTCTTCAATATTGATCCTTCAAATAATAAAATGTGATGGATCATATATTCCACTGCACTAATCACTCTAACTCTCTCCCTCTCAAATTGAAGCACAGACATTAGATGAAGAAGCTTTCTCCATTGTGACTCTTGTAGTCATACTAGCAGCAGTGATCATACCGTATCTTGTGAGACTTCTCTACGACACTACAAGGATATATATAGGCTACCAGAAAAGAAATATGCTACAGGCTCAAGATAACGCCGAGATGCGAGTATTTGTGTGTGTCCATAGACAAGATGAGGCCTTGGCAGCAATTAAACTACTTGAAATTTCCAATCCTACCAGAGGAAGTCCTCTGCTAGTCCATGTACTCCACCTCATGGAGCTCAAAGGCCGAGCCACCCCCCTCTTAATCAACCACAAATTCGGCCAAAAGATATCCGCTGTCTCTCGTTCACGGCAGATCATCGACATTTTCAATTACTATGAGAGTCAATTCTTAGGGTTGGTACATGTGCAAGCCTTCACTGCAATATCAAAGCCAAAGTTCATGCATTTCGACATTTGTTCACTAGCCTTCGACAAGTTGACTTCGCTAGTAATACTTCCATTTCATAGGAAATGGAATTCTCAAGGCAAAGTGATTGTGGACAACAATGCCTTGAGGTCTATCAACCATCAGACCTTGGAGTTGGCCCCTTGTTCGGTGGGCATTCTTGTCGACCGTCGCAAAATACAGAGCACCATGCCAGTTTCGCCACTGTATCGTGTGGCTGTACTCTTCTTGGGAGGTGATGATGATCGCGAGGCACTGTCTTATGCCAAACGGATGGCTCAATCCCCAGCTGTTCACTTGACAATTCTGCGTTTAGTGGCTGAGGAGAATACCAGTGAGGACAGCTGGGAGACCATGTATGACGCAGAGAATTTGAAGGACATAAGGCTGCAAACTTCACATAGAGGTAATGTAGTGTATAGAGAGGAGGTGGTGAGAAATGGACCGGGGACGGCTCTGATAATCCGTACCATGGAGGAACTTTACGACCTGATCATGGTGGGGCGGTGCCACAGATTGGATTCACCGGTGCTATCAGGCCTGTCAGAATGGACTGAGTTGCCGGAGCTTGGGGTGATCGGAGACCTACTCGCATCCCAAGATATTAGTCAACCAGTTTCCGTCTTGGTGGTGCAACAGCAGCACACCAAGTTGAAGACAAAGTAGCAATTTAAGTTGTGATACTAAAATGTACAGGTATTTGAATTAACATGTAATAAAACCTAGCAATGTTAGTATCTAAAACATCGCGCATTAATTCAGTTATTTTCTATATATATATATTACATATTTTGTGATGATTTTCGGTGTCAACCTGCAGGCTGGTATAACACTAGGACCAACTGTTTTAGGAGTGTAGCTCTTGGTGTTGAAGATGCGGGTGTGATGGGGAGGTGTGATTCGCACACATGAGCTGCACGTGTTTCAACGCCATTGATGTAGAACTGATTATTAGAGATATGTGGCCCGTTTGAACTGGTAGAGAGTCTAACGGACTGGCTGCAATATCGTCTAGGCCCTCAAATGGGAAATATTTAGAAATTTTCGTTAATTTTGTTAATAGTTTTTGTTTATTAGGTTTCTTATTTCAGAATTTGTAAAGAAACTTTTTCTTTTGGCATATCTTTTAGTATTAGTTTTCTTCTGAAAATATTTTTTATTGTCTAGTTAGTTTCCTCATGTAATGCAAAGAGAGTAGAATTACATATTTAATTATCAATATGTTTTTTCAATATGTTAACCAAACATACGTACTTGTTCTCCGTGGAGTAAAGATGGATACAAGCATGCATGGTGTTGATATTTGGGGAAAAGGGCCTCACCTTCGTTGGTAATCCGCTTAGGACACCTTGATCATCTCTGAAATGGTTTCCGCAAGTAGACAAGAACAAGCTACCAAACATTAGATTTGTGACGGCAATATGAATGGTAAACCCATTCCCTTTTTTTTTTTTGTTTTCGATAATCGGGTATTCGAAACTTTGCCCCAATTAATTCATGAGACCCGTGAAAGGTGATCCCCCACATTGATTGGATAAAATTCGGACTATGTCCCCAATCGTGGCCTCAAGCTAGGAATTGCTCGCACTTGAAGAAAATCAAATTTGAGACCTGAAATTTAATGAGATTTTAGATTTCAAGTATTTTCTACTTGACCAATCTCTTAGAATTTAAAACCATTCCCTACTTGTGCTGGATTCGAATGAAATAAATGTAACGGAAGTAAAACACATAGATCCTTATCTCAACCAACGGCTATCTACCAAAAACCAACTATTGTGGCTCTAATGGAACAATTGACTATGAATTTGACCAATTGTTACCAATATTTTCGCAAGGCATCGGCGGTTCAGCTTGCGAATTAGGTGATTGGCCGTTTAGTGGATTAGTGCTCCTCTATCGTGGTTTAGGGTAGGTTACAGAGTATGTTGAATTTTCTTATGGGTGTGTAAAATGTGTGTTTTCGTAATTAGTTTATATATAATGTATTTAATTTTTAAATATATTTAATATTTAATTATTTTTTGTGTAATGTTAATATTATTATTTATGTAAATACATAATTTTGAGTTTTAATTTAAGGTTAAAATCATAAAATTTTCATTACTTTCAAATTTTGATCATAAAACTCCAACCTATTTCAAAAAATTCATACAATTTTAAAAAGTGATTACATTTTTTAATATTCGTATTCGGCAAATTTAACATTACTATTTAATGTTAAATTAAAAATTAAAAACTATTTTTTAAAATAACAAAAATACCCTTTAATCTCCTTCTTTACACTCTCTCTAAAACTCTCAAACCACCCCCCCCCCCCCCCCCCCCCCCCTCTAAAACATAATTCTTGTAATTTTAAAAAGTATTTTTGTAATTTTTAAAAATAATTTTTAATTGTTAATTTAACATTAAATAGTAAGGTTAAATTTGTCATTTCATAACCCGGTTAACAGGTCGGATACGGATATTGGGGCAATGTAATCACTTTTTAGAATTGTACAAGTGTTTTTAAAACAAGTTGGGATTTTATGATCAAAATTTGAAAGTAATTGGGGTTTTATGATTTTAACCCTTTAATTTATAACATTTCTCAAGAAGGTATATTGAGTTTTAATTTTTTGAACCATCACAAATGGTATCAAGAGTCGGAACTCGGAAGTGTGGCCAACGAGTTATGTTGTGGCAAACCTATGTGAGACACTAGGCAAGTTACAAATTGCACAATCTCATATCGCCCAAGGTGAAATGCTTATATGTGCTGGTACTGTACGAGCTCGAATCCAAAACGAATAATATTGTACTATGTGATGAAGTAGGTGGTTACATCAACCCATCTCTATATATATATAATTTTTTTTTTGTTAATTGTTTATAGATCATAGTTCGCATGATCGGTCACGGTCGCGATGTAATGGATTCGGAGAAAGTCAATATAAACTAGCCGATACGAATCGCGTATCATATTTAAAAAAGTATATTTTAAATTTTAAATTGAATAACAAAGTATATTTGGACTTGATTGTTGTTATTCAAATTAAGTACGCTTGCACTTAGACTTGACCCTGTACATTATTAGCGGTGATTGATTCAGGTCTCCGCTTTTATGCTGTTCGATGGAGAATTGGTGACCTAAAATTTTTTTTGTTTGCCTTTTTCTTCCAAATGATTACTCCCTTCCTCCCGAATTAAGTGTCGTCTTTAAAAATTATGACTCAGTTCCCAATAACGACACTTAATTTGAAATAGAGTGACTAATAAATTACTTTTGACATTGTGAACATGGATCGCCCTCTTTTGTGTGAGTACACATTGTTTTTTTTATTGTGTTTTCAATTCTGAAAATGTTCATCATTTTCTTCATTACTCTATGATTCTATTAGAAGATTTATTTAGGATATTTATTTCTTAATCTTAACAGCAATGTTAATGCAAGATTTTGAGGCGACCCAGAACGACATTGTACCTAAAAAAGAAAGAGAATGGTGATTAGAAGGGCTTCAAGTCAGTAAGTTAGTGGTAGATCTGATGGAAAGAAGGTGAAAGGACTCTTGAGCATTTGTGTCGTGCATGTTTGGTTGACCCAGAACGTCTCTTTGTAGCGGTATCCAGTTGCATTCAAGTAATAGAGTTATTACTTTTCCTATTCCAACATGAATGGAAACTTCATCTTATTATCCTTATCTTTATCCTTCAGTCATTAAAACTTGTCCAATTTTATCATATTCATGCGACGGTCAAACTTCCTAAGTAAAGACTTTTTATCACACCACAATATAGTTTCATAGATATTATTATTAAAGGAATAAACAACACTTCATCATTTGAGTTGGGATTAACTCCATAAAGCTTGTGTGTATATATATATTTTTACAAGATAAGAAAAGATAGAAATTAGATTAAATATAGAGAGTCGAAATCTGCCACTCAAAAGTTTACTGGAATCACTAACGGACTATCGAGGCATCTGCCAAACTGATTAGTGTATATTGGAAATGTAACTAATTGAATGGTATATCAAATTCTCACAAGAGTCGCAACATTAATTTTTTTGGAAAAATACTCAAATGCAGAGTTAGGATACTCAAACTTAAATTTTAAATTTTTTGAATGGTGAGTCGACTTCCTCTTATTGTTTCCACTTCGCAAATATCAAATGGTCCACTCCTATTAAGCATAGATGGTCATATTGTTTGAGAAATTATTAGATGGTTCTAAATTATTTTGATAAACCATTTCTTTAATTTGAGGGTCTTATTTTAACGGTCCATTAAGTATTAATAGTGTAGGACTATTTAATAATTCCTCCATATTGTGCGTGTTGTTTCAGTATTATTTCGGCATGTCGTGAATGCAGCAGCTGCATAAGCAATGGTGCTGAGAAGAAGGTTTGAAATTTCTTCAATGATGGGGTTACAGAGTAACAGAGATGTAGAGATCGAGGAGATTGTAGTTCTATTATGAAGCTTATTACTTTGGATTATGCTTCTGCTGTAATTTTAAAAGATGTAAAATCCTTTTGCAAATTAGCCGAGTATGTTAATTTTTACAAATAAATTTTTAGAATATTAATTTTTCAAAATGTTAACATATAATAAGTTATATTTTTTTAAAAAAATATGCTGAAAAAAAAAATGATCATTATTTGAATATTATATTATGTAAATAAAATTATATCTATATATATATATAAAATAATAGAATTCAAGTTGGAATTGGATTCGAATGGCTGTTATCTCAATTCAAGTCCAATCTTAATGAAATTCGGCTAAAATTTTAAAAGACAACTTAAAGCCAAACTCTAACCACCATTCCAAAATTTATCCAGAAGCTCACATAAATAAAAGACTATACTGTGATAAAAAAAAAAAAAAAAATGAAAATTTATATAAATTCAGAGCTTGTACATACTGATAAACATTTAAAATAACGGACAAAGAGTTCTGATCTTTATTAATTGGAATCTTAACTGCAACCGACCCATATATATATAGTTAGATCGAGTTAAACTAGTGATAACAAATAAATAAACAAGCAAAATTAACAAATAAAACAAAATACAACATAAGTTTTTTCATAGACTAAAATGATACGTTGGTGTCACATTCTTCTTAAGTTGGGTACTTGTGAACTATGTATCATTTTAGTCTATGAAAAAACTTATGTTGTATTTTGTTTTATTTGTTAATTTTGCTTGTTTATTTATTTGTTATGACTAGTTTAACTCATACATGCTATAGCCAGTAATGGTGTAAAAGATGATCTAACTCCTAGCTTCCTACATATATATCCAAAAATAAAAGAATAAAAATGGAAATGACAATTAAGCCCCTACAAGGGAGATAAGTATATCCACAATAGCAGGGCCAACATTTGTTGGTCTAGAACACATTATACTATTATAGGACTCACTTCATTGAAGGAACAGAGCAACAATAGCAAGTGATGTTTTGGACAAGAAACGTTTTACACCTCATAGTTGTTAACAGTTTTGTGATGGACAATATTTAACATCTTCTTTGGGTAAAAATAAATAAATTAATAAAGAAAATTATTTAACTACATCTTCTTCACAATACTCTACTTTTTTCTTTTTCTTTTTTAATTAGTAAATGTTTAATTTTCTGTATATATATTTTTCTTTCGGATAAATTTCAATTCCTAAGGTTTTCGATCGACATAAAAGATTAGAGCTAGAAGAGTTCATCCATGGAAGAAGATCAGACAAAAATAATGCCCGGCCCCGACGAGGACTCCTGCGTACCTGAACTTATACCGCTCCATTCACCGGGCATATGGAACATACCAAAATATAGAAGCTTTCAAACTTATGCTTTGCCCACGCTTCACATGCAATTGGCAATAATATTCATCCTCACTCAATCTACACACATGCTGTTTAAACGCTTCAATGTGTCCCGGACCGTCTCCGATATCCTTGTATTTTTCTCTCCCTGTCTTCCATAAATGTTCTGTTTCACTGTTTTGATATTCTGCTTGCATTTTGTCACAGATACATATGACATGTTCAAGACAATGATTTAATCCATTCTATGATGGAAGTTTTTACATGCATGCATTTTTTTGGGTAGGTAAGGCAATTGATGTACACAGTACACATTGATGATCAAAAATATTATCCTTCAAATTCTACAAGAAGTGTGTGTGAGGGGGTGTGTGTTGCTACTGATCATTAACTAACATTTGCATACTCTCTGATGATTTTGATTTCAATCTGCAGACTGGAAAAATACTAGGAGAAACTATTCGATACCGGGATTTAGACGCACATTCTTCCCCGCAATTCCATTTGTTTATCTGGACCTGGTAGCAAAAAGTGGCTACATTTTATTCATGTTCCTCATAGGAGTGAAGATGGAACCAAGCATGACGTTGAGAACTGGTAAAAAATTCTGGACTTTGGAATTTGTATCGGTCGTACTTCCCATATTTGCGGCCATGGTCTTTTCTTCAAAGCTGAACTATATCAGCTTCACTGTGGCACCAACCATCAAATACATTATATTAACACAAACCTTTAGCCCATTTCCTGTCATTGCTTGCCTCCTCAATGACCTGAAAATCATAAACTCTGACCTCGGCCGTCTTGCTTTAGCTACAGCGTTGATCAGGGATTACTCAGTTTAGCAATCCATACTCCACTCAACTATAAAAGAGTTTCAACAGAAGGCAGGTCGTTTGTGACCGGGGCACTCACCCTAGCTCTGTTTCTAATTTTCATCTTTACCATCGTGTTCATCCTGCACCCAGTGTTTCTATGGATCATTCGACAGACACCAGAAGGGAAGCCAGTGGACGAATTGTGCATCGCTTTCATTTCTTGCGGGGTTCTCCTCTCGGCCATAATCAGTGACTTCTTAGGGGCTCAGATGTACCATGTCGGTCCTTTGATACTCAGCCTGGCCTTTCCTGTCGGACCCCTCTAGGATCCACACTGGAAGAGAGGTTTGACACCTTCGTCACGGGCTTTCTTTACGCTGGTGCTTATGACGTTCTGCGGCATGAGAACAAATTTTCATTCTGTAACTAACCTGGAAGACATGAAAATGGTATTGTGCGTCTGCGTCGCTGGTACTCTAATTAACTTTATAGGGATTTTTCTTACTTCATTGAAGTGGAAAGTGCCTCTCAAAGATGCAACTACACTTGCACTCATCCTGAGTACTCAAGGCATTGTCGAGATGGCCGGGCTTCTCATCTTCACGCAAAATCAGGTACTTAACAATTCTTAAGAAGCAGTCTTCAATAAAATGTCCCAACACAATGCAAAGTTTAGCTTTAAAATAATGATCCAATCAGATAAATAAATGAATTTATGGTATAAACCAACTATGTGCCTCATGAAGCATCAGCTTTAAGGTTTAAACAATTCCTTGTGGGAGGTGTGTGAGTATCAACTTAGGGGGAAAATGTCCTTATATAATACTAAGTGTGAATTAAATGCTTTTCATGATCTATATATGCCTTCAATTAAATTTCTTCATGGTAAATGAAAAAAAGAAAAATCAATCGACTTCCACTCAGTTTGAACTACTTTGCAAATAAATTTGTTCATTTACTTGTACAAGTTAGCATTCATGAGGTGGTCAATGTAAGTGCTTATTTTCAGGCCATGAGGCTGAAAAGAATTGCAATTGATGCGTTAGAAATTTCTATTTAGTACATCAACGTATCATCAATATTTATCCTTCAATTAACAAAATGTCATCATCTTATTCAACTAGACTAATAACTCTCTCTCTCTCTCTCAAATTGGAGCACAGACAATAAATCGAAAAGCTTTCTCCATTGTTACTCTTGTAGTCATACTAACAGCACTGATTGTACCGTGTCTTGTGAGACATCTCTACAACTATTCAAGAATATATATAGGCTATCAGAAAAGAAATATTCTACAGTCACCAGACAATGCCGAGCTACGAATATTTGTCTGTGTCCATAGACAAGACGAGGCCTTGGCAGCCATTAAGCTCCTTGAAGTTACCAATCCTTCCCGAGAAAGTCCTCTGCTAGTCCATGTACTCCACCTCATGGAGCTCAAAGGCCAAGCCACCCCACTCTTAATCAACCACAAATTTGGCCAAAAGATATCCGCCACCTCTCGCTCACGGCAGATCATTGACATTTTCAATTACTACAAGATTCAATACTTAGGGTTGGTCAATGTGCAAGCCTTCACTGCAATATCAACGCCAAAGTTCATGCACTACAACATTTGTTCACTAGCCTTTGACAAGTTGACGTCGCTTGTAATACTTCCATTTCATAGGAAATGGAATTCTCAAGGTAAAATGATTGTCAACAACAATACCTTGAGGTCTATCAACCATCAGGTCATAGAGTTGGCCCCTTGTTCAGTCGGCATTCTTGTCGACCGTCGCAAAATACAGCGCACCACGCCAGTTTCACCATTGTATCATGTGGCTGTACTCTTTTTGGGAGGTAATGATGATCGTGAAGCACTGGCTTATGCCAATCGGATGGCGCAATCCCCAGCTGTTCACTTGACAGTTCTGCGGTTAGTAGCTGAGGAGAATACGGGTGAGGACAACGGGGAGACTATGCTTGACTCAGAGAATTTGAAGGAAATAAGACTGCAAAGTTCACCTAGAGGTAATGTAATGTATAGAGAGGAGAAGGTGAAAGATGGACTGGACACGGCTCTGATAATCCATACCATGGACAAAATTTACGACCTGATCATGGTGGGGCAGCAACACAGATTGGATTCACCGGTGCTATCAGGCCTGTTAGAGTGGACTGAGTTGCCGGAGCTTGGGGCAATCGGAGACCTACTTGCATCCCAAGATACTAGTCAACCAGTTTCAATCTTGGTGGTGCAACAGCAGCACACCAAGTTCAAAACAAAGTAGCTATTTAAGTTGAGATGCTAAAATGTACAGGTATTTGAATTAAAATATATAAATTCTAGCAGTATTATTGTCTAAAACATCACACATTAATTTAGTTATGTTTTAAAATATAAAAAATATGGTCACATCAAATTTTACAAAAAATTGCCTGCATTTATTGCATTGCCATTAGTTTTCTTTTTGAGTGGTCCTAGAATGCCATTGTTTTCAAACAAGAAGCAAGGTACATTTTCATTTAAAGATTGAAAAATCCGCTAAGTGTTTGTGATTGTTCTATGATTTTATTATATATTTTGTGATGATTTTCGGTGTCAACCTGCAGGCTGGTATAATACTAGGACCAACTGTTTTAGGAGTACACCTCCCAGTGTTGAAGATGCATTGTGCCCTGAAGAAGGAGGGGTTCTTGTCAAAATGTTAACGAAACTTGGGTACATGTTCTTGATGGGAGTAAATATGGATACAAGAATGGTGTTGAAATATGGAGATAAGGCCTGGGCTATAGCCATTTTTTCGATTGTAATCCCCTTAGGATACACCTTGATCATCTCTGAAATGGTTTTGGCCAAGGTTGCGGACAAGAGCATGGTACCAACCATTAGATTTGTGATTGCAACGTGAACGGTAAGCCCATTTCCTTGTTGGGTCGGAATCGAATAAAACAACGAGAGGAGTAAAACACACACAAGTACCTGGGGTTACTTCTTATCTCTAAAGGCCTGAAAGCAAATGACTATCAAGTGCTTGTGGACAATATTTTAAAACCCTTTCTTATGCTGCGAGATTACAATTAATCAAATCAAATCTTTTGGGCATCCTTCAGTTTTGGACAGGGCTATTTGCTCCGCCAAAGAAGATCATCAACAACATGAATAGCATACTTGGTGCCTCTATTCTCAAGCACACTTATAAGAATCTCTGTGTTGAATGGATCCATTGCAACTTACGCAAGGAAAAAAGTTTCTGGATAGTTAACATACCTCAACGTGCTTCCTAGGCCTGGACGTGGAAGATGCTTTGGCTAGACAAATTGTCAAACACCACATAGGCAATGGTCGATCAACATCCTTCTGGTATGACAATTGGTTGCAGATTGGTCCATTTGCGGACAGGGCCAATGCTATATCGACCCACATCTTCACTGCAGAACAACATCCTTCTGGCAACACATGTTCTTTGCTTTGTATCTCCATGCTCAGGGAAGATCAGGTGACTTGGAATCACTCCCCAAGTATAGATTGTTATCCCTTGCCCACACTCTCGAAATGGGACCTTCCCTCGTTCATCTTGGCTAACAATCAACCTCTTCATTTGCAGAAGAATGATGCTCTGGTTGACCTAGGTAGGGTTCGTCTGTTATGAAAATGGGGAAGATTGACTTTTATTTTGGCTGGGCCTGTTGATGTATGGATTGGGTTTTGATAGCCTGAGATTTCTAGCTAGAAAGCTAGCTTGTAGATCGGGCCACAATTTTGGGCCATCTTCTTGTAAGTTTTTCCCTTCTCAACAAATTTGTTTTACCATCCCAAAATAATCACACATCATCAACACATCCAAAGTACCATCCAAATTTTCCAAGACTCGGTAGCAAATTTATATATTCATTTTGGCCTTTGCTGTTCCTAAAAATAAACAAATAATTAATAAATTACTTTTTAAATTATGAACATGGATCAACTTTAGCGATCTTTATCAATTTTCAATAACATAAAGTATAAAATTTCTTTTTTTTTTTTTTTTTTTTTGACAGAATTCCAAACTATTAACTGTTTATATATTCATCTTAATTTGATGAAGATTCTAACATTTTCCTAATTCAATGATCCACCCTCTTTTGTGGAGTACAACATTGTTTTTTATATAGCATTTTCATTTCAATTCGAAAAATGATCATACTTTCATTCATAACTCTTGATTATAGTAGATATATCAAAGATATTTACTTCTTAATCTTACACACGTCCAAAATTTTGTTTCACAAATGTTAGAGATATTAAAATCACATCATCATTTGAGTTGGTATATCGGAAACGTTCATAATTGAATAACATATCAAATTCTCATGAGTCACGACATTATATTTGTTGGAAACCTCAAATTTAATTTAAAATTTTTTTGGGTATATAAATGTGCATAAAATAAAAGGCACTATTAAACTCTGACAAGTTGAAAGTTGAAACAGCTAAAACCCATAAAAGGGACTAATAAAAGGCAATATTAAATGTTTATAAAATAAAAGGCACTAATAAAGGAGGTTAACTAAAATAGACAAAGACGATTTTTGGATTTTAAGTTTTGAGAAGGGAACATAGGCGAGCGGACACAATATGACAGAGGATTAAGGGAGAACAAATTACTTTTTCACTTGAATTAAAAAACAAAGAAAAAAAATAAATTGTCTCTAATATCTGTGACAAAATTTTGGACGTGTATAAAATTAAGAAGTGACAAGGCACAAAACCCACCCAAGATCTTTTGAGCTCAAAATATCGAAAAAAAAATATAAAAAATAAAAAATTGTACATTATTCAAATCCTTTTCTTTCCAATATTAATTTCTTTTCATATAAATGATATGCTGGTAGTAGTAGATTGCATAGAGTTAAGGCCTTTAATATGTCTTATTAAAAGATAAGGGCAATAAGCAATAAGTATCAATCGGCTGTAGCTGAATGTCATTTGACAAAATTTCAGACAAGGTCAGCATAATTTATACCAAAACTTTTGAAACATAGAAAAATCAGAAATATTTCTAAAATATAGCTAATAACTTACATCTAACCAACTGAAAAACAATATTTTTCACTTTTTCTGGTTTTGGACAAGAAACATTACACACGTCTGTCAGTATATATAGTTGCTTCTTCGCTGGACTAAACAATAATAGTTAGTAGTTTTTGCGGTTGATCATATTTAGCTTCCATGCTTCACCCAACTCCAAATTCAACATCTTCTTCATAATTCTCTTCCTTTTTCTTTATTTTCTTAAAGAACTGTTTAATTTTCTGCATATATATATATATATATATATATATATTCTTCGGGATTAATTTCAATTCCCTAAGATTTCCATCGCTGTAAAATATTAGAGCGAGATGAGTCCACCCATAGAAGAAGATCAGACAAAAACAATGCCCGGCCCCAACAAGGACTACTGTGTAGCTGAAATTTTGCCGCTCCATTCACCGGGCATATTCAACCTACCAAAAAATAGAAGCTTTAACACTTACGCTTTGCCCGAGCTTCACTTGCAATTGGCGATGATTTTCATCGTCACTCAATCTACGCACATGGTGTTGAAACGCTTCAATGTGTCCCGGACCGTCTCCGAGATCCTTGTATTCTTCTCTCCCTTTCTTCTATAAACGTTCACGGTTTTGATACTCTGCATGCATTTTGTCACAAATATATATAACACGACCAAGAGAATTCTACGGTAGAAGTTTTTATATTAAAAATACAGTATAACAAAGAACACCCATATTGCAAAGTAATACACTACATGTATGCATTTTATGGGTAGAACAGATATATGCTGCACACAGTGATGATCAGCTTCCAATTGAGGATTGAACCGTATTCTACAAAAAGTGTGTGTGTTCTGTGTCGCTACTAATCATTAATTAACATTTGCATACTTTGTGATGATTTTGATTTCAAACTGCAGGCTGGTATAATACTAGGAGAGAGTTTTCTGGGATCAATTCCGGGATTTAACGAGACATTCTTCCCCGTACTTTCAACTGTTTATCTGGACCTGGTAGCTAAAACTGGCTACATTTTATTCATGTTCCTCATAGGAGTGAAGATGGAACCAAGCATGATGATGAGAACTGGTAAAAAGGTCTGGACTTTGGCATTATCATCGGTCATAATTCCCATACTTGCAGGCATTTTCTTTTCATCAAAGCTGACCTATACTGACTTCAGTGTCATACCAACCATCAACAACGTTATATTAACACAAACCTTTAGCCCATTTCCTGTCATTGCTTGCCTCCTCAATGACCTGAAAATCATAAACTCTGAGCTCGGCCGCCTTGCTTTAGCTACAGCATTGATCAGGGAGTTACTCAGTTTAGCAATCCATACTCCACTCAACTATACTAGAGTTTCAGCGTTAGTAGGGTCGCTTGTGACCGGGGGACTCACCCTAGCTCTGTTCCTAATTTTCATCATTTCCATTGTGTTCTTCCTGCGCCCAGTGTTTCTATGGATCATTCGACAGACACCGGAAGGGAAGCCAGTGGACGAATTGTACATCACCTTCATTTCTTGTGGGGTTCTCCTCTCGGCCATAATCAGTGACTTCTTAGGGGCTCAGATGTACCATGTCGGTCCTTTGATACTCGGCCTGGCCATTCCTGTCGGACCTCCTCTAGGATCCACACTGGAAGAAAGGTTTGACACCTTTGTCACGGGCTTCTTTACGCCGGTGCTTATGACCTTATGCGGCATGAAAACCAATTTTCATTCTGTAATTAACCTGTTTGTCATGAAAATGTTATTGACCGTCTGCGCCGTTGGTACCATAATTAATTTTATAGGAATTTTTCTTCCTTCGTTGACATGGAAAATGCCTCTCAAAGATGCAACTACTCTCTCACTCATCCTGAGTTCTCAAGGCATTGTCGAGATGGCCGGGCTTCTCAGCCTCACACAAAATCAGGTACTTAACAATCCTTAAGAAGCAATCTTCAATAAAATGTCCCAACACAATGCAAAGTTTAGCTTTTAACTAATGATCCAATCAGAGAAATAAATGAATGTATGGTATAAACCAACTAGAGCTTATAGCATGTCCTGATATAACTCCAAGGGTCGCCTTAGGTGGTCAAGTCACTTGGCCATGGTGCCCCATTGAGCATCAGGTCTAGGGATCAACTCTTCCTTAGACCTGATGCTTTTGGGAGGGGGGGGGGCGGGGCGGCGTATCAACCAAGGAAAAAAATGTCCTGATATAGTACTAAGTGTGAATTAAATGCTTTTCATCATCTATATATACCTTCAACTAAATTTCATCATGTTCAGTTCGGTAGATGAAAAAAATAATAATAATGAATCAACATCCACTCAGTTTGAACTAGTTTGCAAATAAGTTTGTTCATTTACTTGTACAGTTTAGCATTCATGAGGTTGTCAATGCAAGTGCTTATTTTCAGGCCATTAAGGCTGAAAAGAATTGCAATTGATGCATTAGAAATTTCTATTTAGCATCAACATATTATTCATATTTATCCTTCAATTAACAAAAAGTTATCATCTTATTCAACTAGACTAATAACTCTCTCTCTCTCTCTCTCTCAAATTGAAGCACAGACAATAAATCGAGAAGCTTTCTCCATTGTTACTCTTATAGTCTTACTAGCAGCACTGATCGTACCATGGCTTGTGAGACATCTCTACGACTTTTCAAGAATATATATAGGCTATCAGAAAAGAAATATTCTACAGTCACCAGTCAATGCCGAAATGCGAATATTTGTCTGTATCCATAGACAAGACGAGGCCCTGGCAGCCATTAAGCTCCTTGAAGTTTCCAATCCTACCAGAGAAAGTCCTCTGCATGTCCATGTACTCCACCTCATGGAGCTCAAAGGCCGAGCCACCCCAGTCTTAATCAACCACAAATTCGGCCAAAAGATATCCGCTGTCTCTCGTTCACGGCAGATCATTGACATTTTCAATTACTATGAGAATCAATTCTTAGGATTGGTCCATGTGCAAGCCTTCACTGCAATATCAATGCCAAAGTTCATGCACTACGACATTTGTACACTAGCCTTTGACAAGTTGACGTCGCTTGTAATACTTCCATTTCATAGAAAATGGAATTCTCAAGGCAAAATGATTGTCGACAACAATACCTTGAGGTCAATCAACCATCAGGTCATGGAGTTGGCCCCTTGTTCAGTTGGCATTCTTGTCGACCGTCGCAAAATACAGCGCACCACGCCAGTTTCGCCGCTGTATCGTGTGGCTGTACTCTTCTTGGGAGGTGATGATGATCGTGAAGCATTGGCTTATGCCAAACGGATGGCGCAATCCCCAGCTGTTCACTTGACAGTCATGCGGTTAGTGGCTGAGGTGAATATGGGTGAGGACAACTGGGAGACCATGCTTGACGCAGAGAATTTGAAGGACATAAGGCTGCAAAGTTCACCTAGAGGTAATGTAATGTATAGAGAGGAGAAGGTGCGAGATGGACCGGGGACGGCTCTGGTAATCCGTACCATGGAGGAAATTTGCGACCTGATCATGGTGGGGCGGCGACACAGATTGGATTCACCGGTGCTATCAGGCCTGTTAGAGTGGACTGAGTTGCCAGAGCTTGGGGCAATCGGAGACCTACTTGCATCCCCAGATACTAGTCAACCAGTTTCAATACTGGTGGTGCAACAGCAGCAAACCAAGTTCAAGGCAAAGTAGCAATTTAAGTTGAGATACTAAAATGTACAGGTATTTGAATTAACATATTAAAAACTAGCAATATTATTGTCTAAAACATTCAAATTTTACAAAAAATTTGCCTGCATTTATTGCATTGCCATTAGTTTTCTTTTTGAGTGGTCCTAGAATGCAATTGTTTTCAAAGTAGAAGCAAGGTCCATTTTCATTTAAAGATTAAAACATCTGCCAAGTGTTTGTAATTGTATCACTGAGAGTTCTATGCATAAGTGTGTATTATATATTTTGTGATGATTTTCAGTGTCAACCTGCAGGCTGGTATAATAATACTAGGACCAACTGTTTTAGGAGTGTACCTCGCAGTGTTGAAGATACATTGTTCCCTGAATGTGTTTTTGTCAAAATGTTAACAAAACTTGGGTACATGTTCTTGATGGGAATAAAGATGGATACAAGTATGGTGTTGATATTTGGGAAAAAGGTCTGGGGTATAGTCATTTTTTCGATTGTAAAATCCCCTTAGGATACACCTTGATAATCTCTGAAATGGTTTCGGCCAAGGTTGTAGACAAGAGCAAGCTACCAACCATTAGATTTGTGATAGCAACATGAATGGTAATCCCATTTCCTTGTTGCGCCGGAATGTAATAAAACAACGATTTCCAAGGAGAAAAACACACACAAGCAATCACAAAGAAAAAAAAATCACACACAATCAACACAAGATATACGTGGTTCACTCAAACCCTGGGTTACATCCTCGGTATGAGTTGTGCTATGTGGAATGGTGGTGGAATAGCAGTTTAAAAACAGCTAGAGGGGGGGTGAATAGATGAAACTTGCTCCAAGAGATCTGACCAACCGAGATGAAGACCTCAGAGACTTTCATAATATTGAGCGAAACGATCCACTATTTCGAAGCAAAGTACAATAGTCTCTTAATCGGGCTAGCACCCACTTCATGATGAGTTTTGTGGCTCGAATTTAATATGTATGCAATGTTCTAGAGAAGATGGACTTGTCCAACTGGGGTGAACATTGTAGTTAAGGAACTGCACTGGCCCAAGTTATGTCGACCAATCCATAATGCCTGATACAAGTGCGGGAATGGTTTCCTATTCTAATTTGGAAGACTGAAAATGTGAGAACGATTTGTGATTGATATGGTAACTCCTTGTAGACAAGTTGGGGAATTCTTGTTGAACGAGGAATGGGGTTTGAAGACTCTGTAAATACAGGTGAGGTTGAGGAGAGAAAAGTATAGAGAGAGAGAACAAGATAATTGTAGAGAGAGAAAGTGAGTTGAGTTTGTGAGAAGAGAAAAGGTGTGTAACCAAAGTTTTGAAGTAAAGATAGTCGTTTTTCACTCGTGGATGTAGGCAATTTGCCAAACCGTCTTGTATTGTGCGTGTGTTTTATCTGTTTTATTTGCGGCAACTACTAAAGATGGAAAGTACATGGTCCAGAAGTTTGACAGAAGAAAGAGAACCCCAGTCTTTGGAAAGTTCAGATGCATGAATTACTGATTCAACATGGTCTTGAAGAGATTTTGGGCACGAAACCGGAAAAATAGAAGATGCCGTGTGGGGGAAGACCAACTCGAATGCAATAAGTGCAATTGATGTTAGCAAATGATGTGGCATATGATACGATTGAAGAAGCCTGAGCAGCAGATATGTGGAAGAAGTTGGAGAATCAGTATATAGGAAAGAATCCCACCAAACGGTTAGTCTTGAAGCTAGAGTTGTATTCTTTCGGAGAAATTGTGTATACTTGCAAGAACATCTTGGTGAGTTCAACAACATTATCTATGATTTAACTAATATGTCAAGTTGAGTGACAAGGATGAAGCAATTATTTCGTTAACATCAGTACGCTCTACACATACTTTGCTTCATATTTTTCAGTAATATGTCTAAGAATTTTGCAAGCAGTGTATATCTTATGTAGTATTTACTTCATAATAAAAAAGATGGAACAAAAAGGTTTACCTGACAAGATTGCCTTTTAGTTTCACAGAAACTTTGTGGTTCTTAATCCACACTCAATCCTGAAACAAATACTAGCTAAATAAGTGCCTGGTTAAATTTTAGGATCCACTGTAGCTAAATGCTTTGACAGTCTTGAAGCACTTTTGAGGCAAAGTAATCGCCAAACGAAAGGTACAACTGGAAAAGAGCTCACCATCGATCAGAGATGAACATCCCCAACTTGTGGATTCAAAGACACGGCGACTTATTTCAGCGCATGGTGTCCATTGCTGTACTCTGCAAAATGGTTGTGTGACTAAGCAAATGAAGAACAGAGAAAGAAAAAGAAGAGTTAATACATCCTCTTGCAATTTTGATTCAAAATTTGTCACCCTTTTATTTTCTATATGGCCTTGGGAAGTATAAAATACCACCCATTTTTCCAATGGAGTAATGGAACAAGCTAGACACTAGAACCAACAAGTATAAGCTATTCACTGTGCATGTGAATCAAGACTCGGAAGCAAGATATCACTATAACAAAAAAAGGCCTTTAGCGGCAGTCAAAACCACCACTAAAAGTAGAAAAAATCGCTGCTATAGCCTTTGGCAGCAGCTTAGCAGCGGCTGTTTTGATAGCCATCTAAAGTTTTGATGGTGCAGTTTTCCAGCACTGTGTTAGATTTCAAATCAATTTAAACCATATAACGGCAGTCTTATCCGCCACCTAAACATTAGGGCTGAAAAACTATTAACCAATGACCATGTCTTAAATTTGTTTTTTAATATCCTCATCAAAATAAGATTTAAATTACATCTAATGTAACAAAATAGAGAAATAATCGATAGTTGAATTGTTACATATATCTCCAAAAACACTTGAAGTGCAACATTCCATGAATACTTTATCTTCTCAATGTCTTCCCAATTTAGCTACAATAAAAATTGTGGCCCTTGTGGGATGTGAAAATTTGGCATATAAAGCTACCAAGATTAATTACATAATGGATAAAAATATTAAATAATTAGTGAAAATTCTAATAACAATGACAGCAGCTAATATATGAATTATGATATGTCAATCAGTTAATATATTTGATGCCTAAGAAGCACGGACACGGATACGGGACATGGATACGACACGACACGGACATGGCGACACGGCAAATCCAAAAAAATTAGGACACGGACACGGCGAGTAGTATATATATGTATATGTGTGTGTGATGTAGTACTTTAAAAATTACTGAGTGTTATTATTTTTCATCAACCTCACAATGAAAAAAAACACAAATCATAACTCATAACTAATAAACTATAAAAGAACAATGTTGCATAGTTATAAAATCAAATAAAAAACAAGACATTAGAATAATAACTAGTATCATTTAATCATCATTGCAACTTTACTCCAAATACAAAAGCATAGACAGAAAGGACTATTAACATTCATGACTGTTTAACATTTAGGACTTTACCGTTAGCACTTAATATTCACAAAAACCTAAAGGCTAGTCCCCAAAAAAGATACAAAAACAAGTCAGTGTACTATCATCTATTCCCATCCATCATTTGACCTAGGACTTTTACCATTTAAAATACCAAAAGGATAGTACAAAACAAAAAATAGAACATATCAGCATTAAAAAAAAAAAAATTCCAGAAAAGTGTGTCCGAGCCGTGTCCGAGCTGTGTCTGAAAATTAAAAAAATTCCAAACACGTTTTTTGGTGTGTCTGACACGTGTCGGGGCGTGTCCAACACGTGTCCGTGTCCGACACGTGTTGAACACGGATTCTTCGCCCATTTTGGAGTGTCCGTGCTTCCTAGTTTGATGCCTTAGATTTAGGACATATTTGTGATGATGCTATTTACTGCAACATAAATAAATTTCCTAGACTTTAGCATACGAGATTTCAAGTGCATGAACAATTCTAATAGCTTACAAGATAGGTACAACTAAATGAGGCATATTCAACAAAAAGACACTAGGTGTATGTATACATAAACAGGGAAAAGAAAGGTATACCTCCAAAAATATTGGTGTACAAAATCTAGAAAAGAAACGACCTGACTATTGTTTTCCCCTGTCCAGCCTCCAATTTCCCCTCTACCTGAAATTATGGCATCATGGGAAGTGAAGACGTAACAAAGATTATAATAGGTTTGGCAAATGCGTAAAAGGAGATAAAAAATCAAATAAAATAAAAAAATTGCAAACTCAATGATACTAGCTAGTTCAACTATTCAAACACTGATCAGACATGCTTGAGAAAAATAAAAAATAAAAATAAAGGAAGCACAATGTTTAGCATCAGTAACACTTCCTACACTCCTTACAGTGTGAGAGAGGGTTTTATGAGCCTTTTGCAAGAGAAAATAATGAACCAAAATTTTATGAATGATTTAGATTGGCCAACATCTAGCTAATCCTGATCACTTCTAGAAAGAACAGTACAAACTTATGACTTGTACAGATCCAATTTGCCATAACCACAAAATCTACCAGCCTATTTAAATGAGCAACTTGAACCTACCTAAAATATATTAATATAGCCTTGACAATCTTCCAAAAGTGTCAATGATGTGGCATCATCTTACATTCTTTCACTTTATATATTTTGAATACAAAGGGATGCCATTGCATATACAAGATAAGCAAGTAAATCAATTTTACATAAATATAGATATATACACACACCTTGTGATATTTGCCCTTTTTATTGTGCCCATTTTATAGATACTTTATTCATCACATTGAAAAGTGTGGAAAGACACTGCTTATAAAAGATGAGTATGATCGATCATAAAGTGAATAAAATCAATGAGACATCCAAATTCTGTGAAGTTGGTGTTAGGTAATGGCATACTTCAAGTCACATTCTCAAATCCAGGGGAAACAATCACTAGAGAATTCAATATAACAACGTATGTAGGGTACCCAAATGTATTCCACTTAATATATTATCAATATTACAAAAGACAAATTCAGGGAGTTTGATTGCATGCTACAGAGAATACTAGTGTTAGTTATACCAGCTGAATTTATAATAATATCTACAGTCCTGCATAGGAGGTCTTATTATTCTTATAGAA